GGGGGGGTGTCCCTCCAGCAGCTGAGCTCAGTCAGTCCATTGGCCCCATAGCTCCAGCATGGGTGTCCTTTCCACTTCTTCAGCAGCAAACATAACGGAGCATTCACTGGGCTGCCCAGCCACAGCCTTGTCCTCTCCCCACGCGCTGTTCACAGCTCCATCACAGCCTTCCTGGGCAGCTTCTTGCTCTTCATTTGATGTATAGGGTTCTCATTCTCCTGACTCCTGCCAGCTGTCCTTTGATGTCTTCTCCAAGGGTGGAGGGCTTGAAATCTTATCCCTTAAAGACATAGCATTGAGTTTAGGAAGGAAACAGTTGTAATTCTGTGTCAAATGTTCAAATGACAGGCAGCTTTTGTTGAATTGTGCGCTTGAAGACAGGTTAGTGGAAGAACTTCCAGAAGCAAGGTGTTGAGTTTTGTACCAGTTTAAATGTCCAGACTTAGGTTTGAGTTACAGGTGTTGTTTGTGTAAACTGTCAGGGGCAAAACTGGTGTTTACCCATGCGGATCCTTCTAGATGTTGGTACTAAAACCATCAGCTAAGTATTACAGAGCTAAGGCTATTTCTGATACATAAGGTTGTAATTTCATCAAGTAGTTAGTTAATGGTGTGGTCTACTCCTTGAGAGTTCAGAGGACTGAATGCCAGCATGGGTTTACAAACCAAGCATAGTCAGTCAGTATACCTACTCAAATAAAATCTACAGCAACTTCTGGCAACATTATTTACATAAAGTGTAAATGACAAACGTTTATTAAATGCATTCTTAAAAAAGTACCTCTTTCTTAAATAATCCTTATCTCCATACGATTTCATTGTAGAACAGTTTTGAAGCAAGTCATAAGTTAGTTATTAAATATAACAGGTTGCTCAATAAAAAAGTCACTTATGTACGGTAGTCTTCAAACATAGTTAAACAATTGCACTGTGTGTGGTATCTTCTGTCACATGCCAGGTAATGTCAATGCAGCACAGATGGAAACCAGCAGCTCCATTTTCTATTTGTAAACCTTCAGAGTAAGGAGTAGGCAAGGTGGTGGAGCAGTTCTTAGATGGTTTTTATCCCATCCCCCCAAAAAAAAGACTGAGCCATAAACTGTATTTTATGCAGAAGACAAGTATTCCATACTTACTTTTTTTGTCATTCCCCCCACCCTGCTTAAAAGCACATTCTAGAAATAAGTCTTACCAGTAATAGACTGAAACAATGCATGAGAAGACTTAGTCATGGCAATTTCACTGGAGCTTTATTGCCTCTGTTGGTAATGAGAGGGATTGTAAGAAGTTACATTTGAACTTACAGAGATATGTAAATGATGGGGTTTTTTTACTAAATATAATCTCGAGATTAAGTGTTTTGTATCAGGGCACTTCTAATTTTGTACATATTTAATGTATAAAAACAGGTTACAAACTTGATGTTCGCTGCCTTTTTTTTTTCCTTGACATTTGGCAAAATTAAATTGATCCATTTAAGGGGAGATCATCAAATTGAAGACATAAGCACTTAACGAATTAAAGCAATCCAAGTAAGCAACTGTCTGCATTCTTAAAAAAAAAAAAAGAAAAACCACACAATTATATAAAGGAAAAAACACATGGCCACATCTGAACACGTTTCAATACAAAATATTCCCTGTAACCAGGTATTTTGTCCTTGGAACAACACCCTGTTAAATCAATGTTTCTTTCAACTTCAGTCACTCATTTTGAAAAACTTTTAAGATGCCATCATAGCACAAATAACCCTTTTCTGCAACATAATTAGTCAAAGTTTTATGTATTTCTTTGTAATTACACAGTAATTATAAGTGTGTAGTACCAAACTGATGACAACACTATTTTGTTGAAAAGATCTTGCATTCAAAAGGAATATTCTTTAAAACACCACGGCATTATGCCACTACCCAATCACAGACTTTTTTGAGGGCCAAGTCTGTATTGGGATAAAAAGCAAGTCAGTTCTCCTCTCCAAACACAGCATACTTGAACTAATCAACCTGAAACTGTACCTCAAGACAGAAAACAGCACGCATAGATACCTTGTAGAGCTTGTTTCCATCACCCTCCCCCCTGTAATTTCAAGTCCCCATTTATATTTACACAAAATTGAGAAAGGATATATTGAAAGCAGCAGAACACACCGGTTTTGGCATAGCCGATTCCAGTAGCTGGATAAAGTTTGCAATGTTTTTGTGGGACTGTATTCTTGAAATAAATGCACAGCTGGATTTTTCTGAAAAGGACACTGCTATAAGGAGAGCGAGCTTTATGGTCAACTTCAGCAAGTACAAATAAAAATTTTTTAGCAGTTTAATAGTCAATTTTTTTCCTAAAATACTTTCAGCATCTGCATAAAAGTGTTCTGCCGTTTAGTGCCAAGTACCAATTACTAATTTCAAAAATAATTATGGCCTTATCATGGGAATATTTAGAGCATGGACTTAAACCGCTATCCTTAATCACAACTACAGTCTGTCTTTTCTCCTACAGCTTGGTATTTCCCAGCACGTTTAAGAGAGTAGTATTTATCAAATCTCTTCACAAGTAACTAAGTGAGGAGTAAAAAGGCCAGGTTTAGCAAAAAAGCAGCTCAAGAGCTCTTGTAATATTAAAAATAATGCAGAATTGCATCTGCTAAAACCTGTTTTGAACAAAATGAACTTGATCTAGTTAAATGCAGTAAGACAATAAGAAGTAGTGATGATCAACAAAATAATTTAAGCAAAGCCAGTGTAGTATTTTATGTGATCTGTGCTTGTTTGGGAAAGCTTTACTCTTAATTTCTATATTTGGCAACCACAGTGATATGTCAATTTAAGGAAAACTCAACAAAATAATTAAAGAATGGGTGTCATCCATAATGGCAGTACCTCTATGTTATAAAGTTTAACTTACTTCTCAGGATAATGGTTTCAAAACCTAGATTCACATCAAACTCACCAGCTTCTTGTACAACAGGGCTATTTGTATCATCATACCGCAACCATAAAAATTACATGTCTCGATTTAAAATACTGTATTGTGTAGCAAACGTTTAAGACAAATTCAGTATATTCAAGTTTTAGATTTCCACAGAAATGAAAAACCTTTCTTTGACAGACAGATAAGCATTTCAAAACTGTAACGAAATCTGATTTCTTGGATAACCTAGATAATATTAGATTCTATCATGACGCACACAGCTTATCTCAATGACGCTCACTGAAGGCTGACTATAACATGAAACACGGGTGCTTTAAGTGCACAGTAGTTGTGTCATACTTCAACTGTTCTCACAGTCAGTTGATGTACAATCAAACCATTCAGATCAGGCACCTAGATACCCCAGTTATCAACAACCTTGGGTTTTCTTGGTTATATCCGTTTTTACCAGATACTCAAACTCACTTAGACAATACCTGTACTTTTCCAGAAAAGAAAAGGGGGGGAAAAAAAAAAAAACCAAACCAACAAAAACACGGACCCAGTACACTTAAATATATCACTCTTACAGGAAGTGCTATCAATACAGTCTTTGCAACTAGCCCCAAGTGTATATTTAAGGATTCTTTTAAAAATCGTTTTGATGTCGATCTGTATAATTCAGATGCCATACAACAGTTGTCTGATGATGACCAGCATTGTGCTTCATGTGAAACCAGAAACCTCAAAATAATTATAAAGCTTCTAGGACTTACGGGAGATGAAACTAGGGTGGTCTCCCCCCTGCCCCCTCCCCCCCCCAAAATAATAAAAAGCCACCAAATCCATGATGAAATCCACAATCTTGGAATTTTAACGGGCAAGAGTGGTCCAGACTAGAAGAAAAGCCCAAACCACCAGTAGAAGAATGAAATATGATATGGTCCAAGATGTATCCTTAAAGGTTTGTCTCAACCCTCAGCCATATTGTGAGGATTGATCTTCAGTTCAGTCCAGCCAGCAGAAATTGACTGTGCAATTTTCCATTTCAGGTATTTGTACAGACTATGTACACTCTAGAAGGGTCCTTTAGTGCTACACTGTCGTACTTTTTGTCCCAGCAATTTGAGGGCGTGCAAATTCCACAAAGTCATCAATAAGAACTGGCCATGCCCCTAAAAGAAAAAAAGACCAGAACATAAGAACTCAGTTCAACAAGGCATTCTTTCTAAAGCTTCATATTTAAACAAGTTATTTACTTTCCAGTCTTAACTAGGCATAGTTTCAAGCAAAAAATGGTAGTTTGATTTTCTTGCTTGAAATTTAAGAGCTGGTTAAAGATTTCTACTTCCTTTAAACCCAGTTAATACACAACTCTCTCAATGGTCATACTTCCTTCATCTTCCTGACCAAAAAAAAAAGAAAAAGAACAAAAGCTGACAAAAATTCTAGCTTAAAACTCTCATGGCTTTGGCACCAGAATACAAACTTGACGTCCAGGATGGCCGTAGCTGCTTAAAAAATGTTGAACATCGGATGAAACAGCCTATGCTGTAAGCAGCAGCATGTTGTTACATCCTACAGCATTTACTGCTCACAGTATGATTCTGCATGAATTCAATGCTCATCTGTTAGAATCAGCATAGTTGGCCATACCTGAAAACAGCAAAATGTACTCCAATAGCCAGCAATAAAGTATAATGCCCTAGAAGGCTGGTATTACACTACATATTTACTCTTCCATATTCCTTATCAAGAGGTAGTTAAAACGCATATCCATATTTCACATATTATGGGCAGACATATTCAAAGAGGTCCCCAGTCATGTGCACGACGGTTGTGTGAAAGTTAAAAATAAATATGCATTGGTTTTTCTCCCCTCAAACTATGTTTATTCCAAATCTTTAAAACACGTTTTCTGCCTTTTATCTTTCTGAACTACATTGATTTACTGTGGGCAGTAGTGCATTTGCTCCATGATAAGGGAATGAGAACTGTCCATAGTTATTAAATAAAGTTGTAGAAGTTTGTCCCTTCTGCTCTGGAAGTATCAGAAGTTCACAGTTTCCTCCACTCACTGAACTGATCTTCCAGCAATGATTGAAGGTAATTAGCTATTCTTGGCTACAGATAGACTGGAAGAGGAAAGATTAATACAAAAGCTTACAAGAAACACTTTTGGTAGGAAATAACTTCTGTTTAGCAATCCCTGTATGCTGCCAGCTTCACTTTCATATTATTACCTGTCCAATCTTCACATAAACTGAAGGAACCAAACTTAAAAAATAGTCTCAGCTAAGAAATGCAATAACCAGAGGACCCTACAAAGAAACGCACAGGCCATGAACCAGTTACTTAGTTGAAGGTGCCAAGAACTGCGCTGACAGAGAATCTGTGGTTTTTAAATGGACAAATATCGGAGTTTGTCTCAATAACAAAGAATTAGTATCTGAGCTCAGACAGGAATAAAAAAAGAAAATGGATTTAAGAAAGTTTCAGCATTTCTTCTTTAAAACTGCAGAAACAAATAGATGATAACAACATGCATTAAAGTAGCTCTAAACTGGACTTTAGATCACCAGTGGTATTCTAATTATGCTGTTATTAGACAGTTGTGCCAAAGCAGATACACAGTAATGAATGCAGCATAAAACACAGAAGTTAATGAAAGAAAATGGAAATGTTTACCTTCCTCATCATAGTTAGACATATCATCTGCTATCATTGTACTAAAGTCTAGAAGAAGGTTCCAGGTATCCTTAGGAATTGATCTTTTATGATGTTCCTGTTTGGAGGGGTGGAAAACTTATATTTAAAAAAAAAAATTAAAAACCCTTATACACATTCATATTCCCAAAATGTATTTCTTGTACACACTATGAAGTGCAGCATCTGGGTCAAAATAGTCTATTTCATCTACTCAATAATTTAAACATATTTATTTTCTAAATTTTGAAAATACTGGTGTCCAGTTTATGTAAAGATTTAAACTTACCAACAAAAATTTGTTCCACAAGTCTAGAAATTTAAATCTTCCATTAAGTACTAAATTCCAGTAGGCAATGGCCATTTCTAAATCTGTAATATTAAAATACATTCTTTTTAGAGACATAAATTTCAAACATACCATCTCCACAGATATCTAACACTAAGATGAACCATATATTCATCAAGGTGAAAAGATTAGTTTAATGCAAATATACTCATGGATCCTTTACAAAAAGGCAACCATAAATAAAGTGTTACACAAATACTTTATAGATTTGCGTATATAGAATATAGAATCTTGAATACAGAAGAACTGAAAATTGTCCATATTAATATCTAACATATCCAAAACACACAAGGACATTTTATATGCCTTTTGCTATCTAACAATACTCTAGTTAAAATTCAGTGAAGTATTTTTGTCTTAGAAATCCTAATGACTTGAAAAGAAAATTTGTAGTATTTTGTAGTAAGATCTGCTTTATTTTTTTTTAATATATAAAATACAATTTACGTAAAACCAGCTTTTTATTATTTCAGTTTTAGAGCAACCTTGTTACAGGTGCTGGCTTTGTAACATGACTTTTGTCAAGTGTTCATTTCTGCACTCAGGTTTCCTTTTGAAAAAAAAAATAAATCTTTAAGTACTGTACAAGCAGATGGTTGATAGATGGTTTGTTGGTGGTCTTTTTTTTTTGCTTGGGTTGGGTTTTTTGGGGTGTTTTTTTACTGGTGGCTTTTTTTTGTTGTCGATTCGTTTTGTTTTGTTTTCTTCCAAAGACTCCTGTTAGTTCTTGTTTGGTTTGAATCTGTTTCTCAGGATGATTGAGAAACCTGAACTGACACAGTTCAGAACAAGAACAACCTACTGCCTGTCAGGCAACTGTGTGTTGCTGTCAGCAGTGGGTGCTGCTACTGTGTAGCAGTTAGAAGAGGAGACTGGTTAGTCTAGCATGGAAGGAAAAACAAAACAAAACCAAACCCAACAAAAAAAATCACCTCCCTGCTATTTGCCAAGGACTAAACTGACATGCATTTACTGTTTATTAGTGGCATACAGTAACTTGTTAGTTAATAAAAGAATGTTATGTATCTGAGTTCTAAATAGAGATAGCATGATCTCCATTACCGGGCATTAACAAGGACTTGTGTGTGGTTAACAAAATGCTCCTAACTGTGATCTTACTGAATTCAAGATCCATCACCAAGTACATACAGTAACCCCAAAAGGCTAGCTACTTAAGTGACTTCGTTTTTAACAGCTCTCATATATTTTGCAGTCTAGCTAAATTTCTTCCCCTAAACAATCCTCTTCTGAGAGCAGAGAGAAGAGGCACGTGATCAACGGCACCTCGGGGGAAAAAAAGAAAATAAAAAAACCTGACAATGCAAGAAAACCACTCCCTTCTCCCAGCTGCCCAAACTATTCAAAAAAATACAGGGAGGTGGATCTTAGAGGTGAAATTAACACCAAACAAAACAGAGCATGAACTCTGCATTGCTAGAGGGAAAATAGATGGTGATGGGGGGAGTTTTTGAATTCTTTAGTATCTTTCACATTAGGAGTTCTTCTCGAGCAGCATATTCACATTATAATGCTTCCTGACCAAAGTAAATAATAAAATTTGTGGAAAATTTCCCAGCAGCTGCAAAAGGGTGTGATTTCAGACAAAAGCATAAGTTTGAGTTTTGAGAAGCAGAGACAAATTAAACAGAAGTCACTACTCCTCAGTAAATAAGCTATATGTGAAAAATGACAATTTATTAAAGACTGTAAAGGCTAGGTATCTCTCTTTAACAGAAGATTCAGATACAAAATTATGCCCTTCAGCTTTCAACTAAAACTACTGTCTTTCTAAAAATTACTAAATACAAACTTCAGATTAAGCTGATCAGTTCCTCACAGAAACAGATTAGAAAACTAAGTTTTATTTACTTGTGATGCATTAATAGCAGGCATGCAAAAAAATGCAACATCAACTTGCTGAATATTTTCAGTGGCTTATAAAGAAACACTGTAAACAAACTGTGCATTTCGACATGCTTATACAATTTTGAGATTATTCTTGTGGGTAAGCCAAGGCCTTTAAAAAAACAGATCTCTGGATGCTGCAACCTCAAAATCACTAGGTGAGCCCAAACAAATAAAGTACGAAGACATAATGCCTTAGGACACACTACATGTTTTGAAAGAAATTTTATGAAAACACAAAATTGGAAAGTAAAGATACAATTTTAGGTTTTCATTAAGAAATGGAAAGAATGCTCAGGAAAGTCCTCATGGATCAAATGTGAAAGTCCCAAAATATATGCTCCATTTTGAGTTTTATCCAGAGAGATGCAAGAGAAGCAAACAATGTCCGAGATGAACGTCAGCTAAAAGGTATTCTCAAATGATATGCAAATATCACAAGAACTTTTAAGACATCCACAGTACTTACATGGTAGTAAGGAATTATGCAGAAGAAATGTGTTTTTAGAACTGTGCCTGAACTACTACACAATGTTTGGAAGATTAGAGACCAATATACATTAAAATCAATTTGCAAGTTCCTACAAGCAGTTATTTAGAAACTCCAAAATTAATTGCCTAACTAGGAGCACTTACTTTTCAGCACTGTAATTCTCCCAATATTCTTTTGCTTCAGGGTTTGCAGAATTATTCTGCCCTATCATAAATTCATGTCTAGAACTAGGTATTTACTTGCACCAAAAGGGCTGGTAAGCATCCAGATTTAAGCTCAGTTCTACATCACTTCCAGACCCAGACTTGGGGAGGAGATAAAAAAAACAAAAAAAAAACCAAAAACAAAACAAAAGAAACCACACCAAAAACCACACAACCAAGAAAACTCCACCTTATACTATGTATATGCTATATGTATGGATCCAAGAAAACTATAGTTGTCTTGTGTTAGTGCTTGACCTGCATAAAGAAGCTTTAAGATGAATGAGAAATAAAGCAAGGGACTTAGTTCCCCTGGTAAAGCATTTTTACTGAAGTCTGTTCCATCTGGGATACTCAAAAGATTCATTTCTATATAGCACTAGGGGGGGAAAAAAAAAATAATTCAGAAGAATGCAAGTCTTCCTTATACCTTAGAAATATGGAGAAGAAAATAAGAGGTAAGTACTATATCAAACAGTTCTGTTATTCTGAAGCTTTGAGAAAATTAAAAATGATCATATAATTACGATATCGTTGTAATTTGTCATTTCACATTTACCACCTTACAGGGATTCTGCAAAATACTCCTCGTTGTGTAAAGCTGATTAAACATTAAAAACAACATACAAATGCTACAATGGTAACCATAAAAAAACCAATCAAAACCCTGCAACCATTCTTACTGCAGAACTGATTCCACATTGACACTCTCCACAACCTAACTTCTGTCTTCTCACAATCCAGTTACTGTCCACACTTTCCTTGTTGTTGCAGCCTAAAAATCAGTATGACTTTCTACAAGAAATAAGAATCAGCCCATTCATTTATTTGCAGGATTCAGATCTGACTACATGCATGCACAGGTATTTTCAAACAGTTTAGCAGTGCTCTTTTAGCTTCAAAGACAATGGAACTCAAAATCCAATTGGAAACAAAAACCAGGATACAAAAAGATGTTAAAGCATGACACAGTTCAAACTAAGACACGGAGCTTTTGCTTACTTATTTTTCAATATTCATTTTAAGCCAGAAGTTGGTCCACATATAAAAGACAGTAAAACCAAAGCAGAATGTGCATCTTTTCACAGCACATGAATGCAAAGCTGGTCAGTGGCAGTCATTTTAAGGCATTTTCATTACTGAGAAAAATAAACTCACAAGCTGCCAAGCAAGAACCTACTGTCCTTTTGGTATTTTATTTCTTCTCAAAAGTATAACAGTTAATATAAGAAGTTAACAGTTAGAGACATGAAAGATTAGTTATGGCTAATATCTCAACTATACTATATATAACCAACCAGAATGCACATTCATTTAACATTACTGCTTGAAAGAAATTGTTGTTCCTTCATTTTTGCTGTTTTGAATAGACAGATCTACAGTTTGTTCATTTAGTTCCACAGAACTGTTGCTCTGTCATTATTTTTAATAAGTGGTTCTTCCACTTCACCTGCTACACTAATCAAAAGCACAATAATCAGAAGAGCTCTGAAATAATGAAAAAAACCATTCAGTGAGCTGAGGGGAAAAAAAAAAAAGGCTGTAGGTAGGCACCTATTACCAGTGGCACAACAACAACAGGCATGAAGCCCAAGATACAGAAATCTATTTATACTATTCCAATTCTATTTTGCCAAGACATTTGCAAGCATTTTTGGTTTTAGGAGAGACAGTACAAGTGTACTTACATGAATATCAGTTTTACATCTAAAATATATCCTAAAAGTGAAAATTCATTTAATCTGCAAATTCTAAGTGGTATAATTATGCCTTTAATGTAAGGCCATAATCCATTGTGCTTACTGAGAATTGTACAGGCTCTTAGTGAAAGAATAAACCTTCTCATAAAATTTTGTAGTTGACATGGTTTAAACCCAGCTGGTAACTAAGCACCACACAGATGCTTGCTCACTCCTTCCCCCAGTGGGATGGGGGAAAGAATCAGAAGAGTTAAAGTGAGAAAACTCATGGGTTGAGATAAAGACAGTTCAATAAGTAAAGCAAAAGCCACATGTGTAAGCAAAGCAAAACAAGGAATTCATTCACCACTTCCCATAGGCAGGCAGGTGTTCAGCCATCCCCAGGAAAGCAGGGCTCCATCACATGTAACAGTTACTTGAGAAGACAAACACCATCACTCCGAACATTATGCCCTTCCTTCTTCTTTCCCCAGCTTTATATGCCGAGCATGACATCATATGGTATGGAATATACCTTTGATCAGCCGGGGTCAGCTGTCCCAGCTGTGTCCCCTCTCAGCTTCTTGTGCCCCCCAAGCCTACTCGCTGGTGGGGTGGGGTGAGGAGCAGAAAAGGCCTTGACTCTGGGTAAGCCCTGCTCAGCAGTAACTAAAACATCCCTGTGTTATCAACAGTGTTTTCAGCACAAATTCAAAACATAGCCCCATGCCAGCTACTATGAAGAAAATTAACTCTATCCCAGACAAAACCAGTAGTCTGTATTAATGATGCAGATATTTTTATCAATTTGAAAACCTTAAATTGACATCTATCTTTCATAACAGAGCGAGGTACTTTATCCCAAGGGTGGTTATCTTTCAGACTTACTGGATCACAATAATACTTTCACTTACTGCTTTAATCAGTCATTTCCCATATTTATGAACAAATGTTTATGATTAAGAATACATACCTAAACCTTTCTGTCCTGGATTCTTTGCAAAGTTGAAAGTAAACTGATAAAAATCCTTAAATCTTCCCGGCTCTTTTAATTCTTGTTCCATTTTAGGAATCTGGGCCTTCAGTTTTTCTATGCTGTCACATCTGTGTTTTAAAAAGCACGTTTATTTGTGTATTATTCATTTTGCCATAAAATGAGAGTTATAAAACTTTAACAAAAATTTCCAAATTTTTTGTGGAATATGATATGATTATCAAAACAAAATTCAGGAAGGCTTCAATTAGTCCGCACTTATACAACAGTTTCATTTCTTTGTTGTTATTTCTTCACATTGCCATTTGCACATACTAGCTGATACATCAGATTCTATAATCCACAAGATTTTTAGAAAAATGTGATAAAGACTACTAGATTCTCATAAGCCAGAGAAAACCCAGGTATGCTAGACTGCACACCAACATCATTGCTTTACCTACCTGAGTAGCTCTATGACAACTAACCGAAATACTTACAAAAAAGGCAAGTAGCACTCAAAGTTGCCTCCCTTTTTTTTGGTCACTAGGCATCTAGCACACAGAGAGCAGATGCATTTTTACAGAGGCAGACAAGTGATGCCAGACTCTGAAAAGTCTCTGAAGTCTTAAAGGACAATGTTATTGTGAATTCCACAAAACAGGGTTGTTTCACCATACATTCCAGTTTCTGACACTGGATTACACTGTCAGTGTCAAATACTTACTGCACACTTACCCTAGCTCAGTCATTCCATCCATGAATTCCAGCTTTGAAAATTCACACTGCGTTGCAGCTCGGAATTTCCATGCAATAATAAGTACAGTAATGCTGGCTGGGTCAAGAGCTAGATCATCACAAAACTGCTGTATACCATCTATACCGATTTTATTTTCATCTTGAGGATCTTTGGGATATAAAAGTAAATATCAAGAAAAACAGATTTTTAAAAAGCTAATTTATTCAACAAATATATTTCAGATAAGCACACACTTTCAAGAAACCACTTTTGGGATCAGCCCTTATAAGTGAATATTTTAAAAAGAAAATTAAATTAGTATTTTCAACGGTTAAGCTTTAACAATTGAGGTAGTTACTACAATAAAGCCTCCCATACAATGAAGCTTATGTTATTTTCATTGAGAGACAAAAGCACCACAAATGTTTGTTTTCTGCCTAATAATATGCTTCATATTCCGACTCATTCCATACAGAGAATAGTGGTCCTTTCCCACCAGCACACTTAATTATTGGCATCTTTGGTAAGACTGCCAATCTGTATACTACTATAAACAATTCTGCAGTGTCCATTTGCAAGCTGTACTGATACAATAATCAAATCTGCCCATACACTACTAAATCAACATTAGTTTTATACATTTTCTGGCATCACCAGCATGCAGGAGATTGGACATGGTAACCTCCAAGAGGAAAGTTACGTTGCCCCGTTACCGATTCCAAGTCAGCCAGGCACAATTCTCTTTCCACGAAGGAATCAACATCTGGTCTGGAAGTGAGATGGTCACATTTCAAGTGCACTAACAAAGATCTACTAAAGTAAGCCAACAAAGACTTCAGGAAAATGGTATGTGGATTATATACGCATATGAAAACTGACAGAAAATGTAGCACTCATATTTTTGAAGTGCTAAACCACAGTATTTTTTCTACTGTAGTATTTGTACTAGGATATCATCAGCTGAACACTGGCTATGTAACACATAGAGACTTTGTTTTCTCTTCTGCTCTGTTTGTAACTATCCGATAATAAGCACAAGGTGAATAAAGATCAAGGTAGAATCCATTCTTGGTATGCAACCTTTCACTTTTTCAGGAGCGAGTCCTGAGTGATGCAGTTTCCCCAGAAGAATCACCTAAAATCCATGTTAACCATTACAGTTAATCACTGTACACACAATACCAGTTCCAGACCCTAATCTTGTATAAATGTACATACGTTTAGAGCACATAAAGTAACCTTGTGTAATCGTTGTGAAGCAGAAGTCTACATATATTCCCCTTCTAACTTGTATTATTAGTAACAGAAAAACAAAGCTGAAAAGAGTCTGTTAACATTTCCAAGCACTAGAGCATAGCTGTATTGATACATCGTAATTAAGAATACATACACAGAACCAGGAAATAAGCCTTAAAATTCAGGGTACTCACCTTTGTATCTGTTATATAGTTGTTCTAACTTCTTTCTGTCCAATGATCCTTTAACACTCTCTCGTATATAAAGTTCAGGATTTTGGAAAAAGTTGTCTGTTGCAACATCTAACTTCCAGTCATTTTGAGACAGACAACTCACTGCTGTCTTTTCACTAGATTGTGTGAAGACCATAAACTGACGCACTTTATCCTTCTGTGATGATTTCAACTTGTTCTAGTAAAAACAGACAATACTGTAACTAGAAATGTTTTACTAGACAAAACCAAAACATCAGTACTGTTGATTTTTTTAAATCAGTATCTTTTATAATTTTCCCAAGCAACTAGACTTCCCCTACCTGATGGGGCAGTTAGACACTCAAACCAACACTTATTTCCACACACATCCCCCCCTTTATTTTTTTTTTTTAATTTAAACTTACCTTCATTCTAGATACTTTACATTGTAACAAAACTGAGTTAAATCATCACAAAAATCATGCTGGCAAAGCAATCACAGAAATAAAAAAAAAGGGTATTCTTACTGTATATTTGGAAAGAGAGCTGAAGGGCACACCAAACTCATACACAGCTTTAAGCTGGGACATCCTTCTATTTAAACCAATTTTTATTTTTTTTAAAAAAGAAAAGCACCATTCTCCTCTAAACTGAAGAATGCTACACCTACCAAAAAAGTGCAATTGAGATGAGTAAATAAAGCCCATGGCTATCAAAATATTTGATAGATTAATTGCCTCAACAGATGCAGCAGAACAGGCCGTTTAATAGCTCACCATCACCAAAGGAGAGGCTGGCATTCATTTAGTCCCAGCTGACTGAACTAACAGAAACAGCAGCGAGTGCAGGACAAGGGGCCAGACGTCGCTGCCAGGAACAGGATCTCTTGATGTGCCTCTTGATGGCAGCAAGGAACGAGGCTGGGTCATCCATTTCAGGGAGCTACACACCGATATAGCTTAAAAGACCTTTTTTTTTTTTTTATTAAGAGATTTTTCACTGTGAAGGTGCTCAACTCCACCTACATAATTTGCAAAACATTCCTGTGAGGAGGCATTGTCTCCATTTCACAGGTGCAGCAACTGAAGCTAAAAAAAAAAAAGGGGGGAAGAAATTTTGCCTGAGGCAGGCGGGGGGGGGAGAGGCCAAGGGCAACTGAAGCTAAAAAAAAAAAAAAAAAAGGGGGGAAGTAATTTTGCCTGAGGCAGGCAGGGGAGTGAGTAGCCAAGGTGAGAGCTCTGGAATTTCAGGCCTCCTGCCCAGACCAAGGGACATCCGTCTGCCCTAGCGCAAAACTGAATGGAGAACTTGCTGCCAGTAATTTATCGGCATAGAGGGATTCCCAAGGATACTTTTGATGAGGGGAAGCACACTCAGTATTTCAAGGGTATTAGTTACACAACACTAACTGCTGATCAGAAGAAAGCAATCATACAGCTCTTGCACTCAATCCAAATTCAGTTCTAAAATTCACTCAATACATTCAAAGCAAAAAGATTCCTAATGCTACAACTTGGTAAATAAAAGTTCTGACTTCTAAGTCAGGATTGGATTTCTTACATGGCACAAATATTTCATTTGTAGTTTACCTTGCATTCTAACCAAAACCTGTATATTCTGTTCATTACTGTAATTTCCAAGTGCACAGCTCTCTCTCAGGGGGTATGGGGGAAAAAGGCCAAAAAAATCTCTAGACATGATAAACTAACCTCAGCCAAAGAACAAATGGTTTAGGAGCAGTATGAGCTCAAGCTCTTCGTTCCAAAGGATAATTAGTGTCCAGTCACATTATCATTAGAAAAAAGACCTAGTGCTTCAGAACAGAAATTCATCTGCCCTAAAAGTCAAAATCAGTTTTCTGCTGCTTGATGACAGTGAATGTGAACACTACTATTTGTAAGAGTAGTTAAGTTACCAGCTTCAGAGATATACCTTTAAAAACATTACAAGAGCATCACATCTGGCTTAAACTAATACCCACATAATATACTAAACAGACCAATACCCTTTAATTTAAGATCCCTTTAAAAAAAAAATAAATCTGCTCCCAAAAAAACCAACCTGTATCCACAACAGTTAGCTGAAGCCAAAATTTTAGCACACACTGCAGGCTTAAACACAGTGATATTAGTTAGGCTATACTACTTTTAAAATTACAATGTGCTGCTGCTTTCTTTCAGTCTTGAATAAATTTTGCACATTGGACCTTTTGCTACAAACATGCTTCTGAAACTCAGATTTTCAGAAGTGGTTTCAGGTGAAGGTCAAGCCATCAGAGCAAGTCCTGCAAAGTCTCACTGCTGACAATCTGTGCATGCTTCAAGTTTCACAGCAAACATTCAGCACCTCACAATACTGAGCTCAAACTTCCACAAAAATCACTGACAAAGCCATGTGGAATGACTTCCAGAAATCACTAATGGATTTTTAGTTGCAGTTTTTAAAAATATATTGTAAACCTCAGATATATTAAACCAAACCACTGAATGAAATCCCAAATGAAGATGAAACAATCCCAAGGATAATCTTCTGTATCAAGTACCAGCTTCCTCAAATCAGTTCTACATAGCCAGACTGCTGCATCACCACAGACTCAGGTGCACTGTAGAGCATAGTCACACTTATGACCTTAGCTTTGCTCTTTTTTTTTTTTTTTTTGGACAAAGCTGGTGCCTTGAATCATTAGGTTTTTGTTTGTTTGTTTTTTTAAAAAAAACATGTACACGTAAGTATGCATAACCCTTTTAATAGCAAGTATTCTCTAAAGCCTCAAGAGCCTTTGTTCTGCCCTACTCCTGTGCAAGGGTAAACTCTAAAAGCAATGACATACAACAAAAAGTCAAGGAACAGGTTTAAAACAGCTTCACCATGGATACCCAAGACCACAAAAGGCAGTGTCTTTTGCGTTTGTCACATAAAAGGAGAATGCAATTTATTAGATCAAAAAATTGCAGCTTAAATCACTTTCATGATAAAATTTAAAACCTATATATGCACACGAAATCTTCCTGTGCCTGGAGCTCCCCAAGTGATAGTAACAATATAAAACCTTTTTAGAAAGAACATGGAATTTGCCAAGAGTAAAGCAACCAATGACACTAATCAGTACAACATTCAGTAATATATTAAGATGTAATAAATCACACTGTTGAGCCATAATCTTTCTCTGGAATAACTATATTTTTACCAGTCAAATAAGAGTTTATTTTTCGTGAAGAAGTGCCAAAGCCCTTTCTTTATATTTGATGAATGTTTCTGCAGAAGTTTGCCAAAGTGGACGAGACACTCCACATCCTAAGTGACTGGACAACTCTTTGAAGGCCTACTACAGGACAGCAAACGATGAAATTACTGCTGAGTTTTTATTATCCTATTATAGCCCTTCTTTCATCACATTAAAACCCACACTTCAAGCAGGAACAGGTTCCAAGCCTTCTGCACTTTTAAGAGCTATTTCGAGAAGCCCAGCTCTACCAGTCTATTATTGTTTTAAGTGTGCAATACAGAAGCCAGAGCACCCTATAACCTTTAATCCTGTAGTCATCAGGCAACAAATACCTTACACTGCAATTGCATGTACTGTAGTGCAATGCAATCCATTTAAAATATCTCAACTTTAATAATAGTTAAAAAGGAAGACAGAATTTCATCTAACAGATATCTGTCTTGCTAAAACATACAAGTGAAAACCAGTGGAAAACAAATGCAGCAAATTTTCTAGTAAGTCTTACCCCTTGGGGTAAGAGGAAAAGGAAAAATTCAGATCTGCAAGCCTTTGATCAAGTCTGTGTGATAACCAAGCTACCTTTCACAATGAAGATGTCAAGAGAGACAGGAGGCGAACTTAGTTTTAAAAATGCAGAATAACTTCTCCAAATTAAAAGCTACATTATGTAGATTCATAAAACTAGGTATTTACACCATTCTAATGAACATCTGATGCTATAACACTGATTTTTAAATGAAAATTTGCCTCTCCCCATGAAGTACCAAATTTGATAATTCTAATTCAATAACCCATCCTTGATGAGATACTTCAGTAGAAAGATCAAAAATGAAAAGAGATTTGGGCTTTTTTTCCCCCAAGTATTTTTTTTCTGGCCTCAGACTGAAACTCCCCCTGTCTAGGGGAGTAAGCTTTCCCAGTGAGGGGCTGGGGGGCGGTGAGGAAGCTAGAACTGACCTGCCAACTTTGACTACATGGTGGTTTTTCCTTATCTTTTATCTTTATCAATTTTTAGTCACCTCAGATTCAAAGATCAGCTCTGCACACTGGTCATCAACATTTTCTGGATAGCTAATAGCCGTACGAGGCTCCACTCTCCTGGATAATGTCCACGGGAAACAGTAACAACCTTTGTCCCACACTGCCTGGACTGGAGAGCTGAGGATTCCTACCAAAACCCTGTTCTTGCACTTGGCTCAAAGGTTGTATGTGGCCACCAGCTAGACAAGCAGTGCATGATCAATTTGAAGTATCACTGCCCAAAATTCCTTATGGCCCCCAAAGAAGGCATTCACACAGTTGGTCCTTAATGAGTAACTGCTTTTCACCTTTCCCTTCCCAGTCACTGCTCACAGATGATCCAATTCCTGCTAGTTTCACTGCTAACTAAGGGAATTCGAACAATGTGACACCTGTGCTTTTGTTTCAGTGGGACTCAAAGAAAAGCCTGTTAAGTTCTCATGCATGTGACAGGTAAAAGCCTTCTCTAAAATAGTATCAACCTCCACAAAGTCTAGGCTTTTATATTAACTGCATTTAAACTCTAGCAAGAGATCTGGCTGCAGGAAGCATCCTTACACTTTCAAAGGACCCCAGTGACATCAGTTCAAACACAGAATAACTTTGGCCCGCACACAGAACAAGAAGCCTGGGTATGTAATAACCTTACAGATCACGACTGCCAGTTTTGTCGCATCTTTATGCAACAGTAATGGTCAAGAGGATATTGCTCCTTTAGTGTCTGAATCATTCCATGTTGGGCTGTATCCATTAAAGGAACATACAAGACACCTGCAAATAATCTGGTTTACTGCTTGTACTCAACAAATACATGGCTATAGCTTGAAAGGCAAATCATGAGTATTTTTCTTTGTTTGATAAGAAAACAAAAGTTAATCACAACAACAGAAGTCTATGAACACACTGAATTACATTTTAACCCACCAACTGTAACGGCATACATGTGTACTACCACAAAAACCCAT